AAAATTATTATTACTGACAAATTATTCTAATTAATTTTTTTTACTATGCTCATTATTTTGTTATTCCAACATTATATATGCTTAAATACTTTTATTTTTTTAATTTATAAAATAAAAGTTATTCTATAGGTAACCGTAAGTCCATAATATAAATTAAAACGGGAAAAATCATAATATTAAAAAGTTTTTAAAAAAAATAAAATGAAGATAAATGTTTATAATTTAAAGGGCAAAATAGGTATTTGACAATTCAAAAATTGGATAATCTAGTTGAGTGACATTCTGGGTGAGGCATAGTTCGGTGACTTTGTTGTTACAAACGAAAGAAAAGTAACTCTATGAGATAATTTGGGATAGTTGAGTGACCAATTGAGTAATTGACTCCAAACAAATAACCAACACCAGCGGCGGGTCTAAGATTTATATAATATGAATGCACCACTAAAGAAAGAATAAAAAAGAAAGTATAAGTGAGAATTGATCCCTACTCATCTAGGTTAAAGCATGCAACCAAGTGCACCATTTAACCCCTTTAGAGCATGCGTGTCATCAAATAATATTAGATCAGTTATAGCAAATACGTAAATAAAATATCTAGTTTGACGGAAACACCATGGATTCACGTGTCCAATAAAATAGGCTATAAATCCGCCCCTAACCAACACACAAAGAAATAATTTATGTCAAGTGGTGTCATTTTTTCCTACTTATCTGTTTCCTCACAGTATTAAATATATATTTAATGAAATTTTCCAACAAAGCGGTATCGCATGACACCAATTCGTTAAAGGTGCATCTCCCCCTGAGTGCAGGATACTAACGTTAGTAGCCTTGTACAAGTAAAGCCATGAGTTGCACTTGCAATAAGGCCGTGGATTCTGTACTACGTAGTTCAAACCTATGCTACTGCAACATTATTAAGTACTACGTAGAATTTTCCAAGCAGGTAATGTATTTAGGTCTCTTTTGTTATTACACTGTATTTGTAAAATAAATTCTGGAAATATAAATGAATATAAACAGTAATGAATATAAACAGAAATGACATAAACCAATTCGAGCCCACTGAATTCACAGTGTTTCCTTAAGGAATTTAATCCCCTCCTAGTACCCAAGGTTATGGATTATTTCCTCCCAGGATAGAACGAATTACACACTGGTGTAGTGGTACTTCAAACCCCAGTGTTTCAGCGAACACAAAGTTCGGTAGCAAATCACACTTACTTTTTGCTTTGTTTTGATGCTAAAAGTATGCAGAAGAAGGAGAGGAAACTCAGAAAATTGTAGTTAAAATTCTGAGCAGAATAGTGTTGTATTTATAGCCAAAGTTGGGTCTCTTCAGAATGGCTGTTTATGCAAAACGCCCACAACATAAATGCCATTACATAAATGGCCATTTACTCAATAATAAAGAGGGAAAATAAAGAGGGAAAATTGAAGAGGGTAGTTACTTTTCTGTTACCAAAACAGAAAAACGGATTGGATTTAATATTAATATTTAATATTAATATTTTGTTATTAAAACAAATATTTAATAACATTTCTGTTAATATTTTACTATTAACAAATAAATTTGGTCCAAAAAGTTAATCAATCGAAGCCGAAGCCGAAGCCGAAGCCGAGCCAAGCGACGACGACGACGGCGCGAGACTTGCCTTCTTCTCAACTCTTTAAGAGCTAGAAGAAGAGCAATTGCTTATATACCCATAAAAAACCTCTTCCTCTTCCAATATGGGACAATGCCCATTTGCCAAGGGAGGGGGAACTTAAAATTTCACTCAAAAATTTCATTTCCTTCCATTTCCCATTCACCCTCTTTTAAGTATTTAATATATTAATTAAATACCTTAAAAACCCAACATCTTTAACATTTTGTTGTATTTAGAATCAGATGCATGTCTTTTTCAGTTTCCACTGACAAAGAGAAAGATAATAGGCTCCGTTATTTAGTTAGATTCTTTCGTTACTACTTTAATCCCGACTTCAAATTTGGCTTAGACTAAAAATGTCCTATATTAACAAACGTGAAGGACTATATATATTCAGAGTTATATATCGAGGATCAAAATAATCATACTCCTATGCTTCCTACTACTTGTTCCTTCAAACTTTGGGAAAAAATTAGAAATACCCCGTTATATAACGGGTAATTGAAAAATAGCTACAGTTTCAAAAGTAATTGGAATGTTACCATTTTTTCATGCAAAGATAAAATCTGAATAAAAATACCCTTAAAATCCTAAAAAGTTCAAGCATAATATGCTGGAGTTCGAATTTTATGCTGGAAATTTATACGCAAGACCTACGTAATCCAGCATATTATGTTGAAACTTTCCATGTTTCAGCTAAGGTACTCTTGTCCAGATTTTATTTCCGCATAAAAAAAAATATTATTTTTAATGATTTTGCAAACGTCGGCTATTTTTCGATTACCAATCTAAAAACTAGCTAGTCCATGCTATTTTCACAAATTTTCCAGTATTTATTGAAGTCACGGTATAGCCAGTTTTCGGACTGGCCAATCAAAAATAGCCAACGTTTACCAAGTCAATGAAAAATAGCCACCATTTTGCTGCAATAGAGACCGGTCCAGCATAATATACTAGAGTTCGGTGCACTTGTGTATGAACTCCAGTATATTATGCTGGACCGGTATACTTTGCTGGCTCCAGTATAATATACTGGAGACTGGAGCACTGGTGCTCCGAACTCCAGTATATTATACTGGACCATTATACTTGCTGGAACTCCAGTATATTATGCTGGAGTTCTAGTGTATTTATGCTGGAGCTCCATCATATTATGCTGGAGTTCCAGCATACTATCCTGGAACTCCAGTATAATATGCTGGAGTTCAAGTATACTTATGCTGGAACTCCAACATAATATACTGGAGTATTTTCCGGGTTTTGAATAGTGTTTTCGCTCAGATTTATCTTTACATAAAAAATGGCTAAATTTCGATTACTTTTGAAATTGGGCTATTTTTGAACGACCAGTTGTAAATCTGGCTATTTTTAAAAATCACCCATACTGAATCTAATTGAGACGTTTTCTCTATAGAGCCTAATGATTGGGCCATGAATTGTTGGGTTAATACTGTAAAAATTGCACAGGGCGCCCTATTTGGGCGCCCCCTTTTAACCTGTAGCCGCTTTGTCTTTCTGTTTGCACCCGTACCCACTTTTTAAAAAACTTCAGCTTCCCTTTCTCCTCCCCTTCTCCTCCTCTTCTTCTTCTTCTTCTTCTTCTTCTTCTTCTTCTTCTTCTTCTTCTTCTTCAATACCACAGTTCTTGCTCTTCACTGTAGTTAGTGTTTGAGATAAGCCTTTACAAATAGAATATGAGATTGGAACTTGCTAGTTTCATGCTTTGCGGTAACTGAAGAAGATAGATTTTCTGGATTTAGCTTTGCACGATATGTAATCGTCAGATTTTCATTGACCATTCTAACAAATTTTAACGGGAAATAATATGTAGCTACTTAAACATGATATTTCAAGACTATCCGCCAAAAATTGCTAGATATTTCCATGTAATTCCTTTGATGAATGTACAAGAAACAGTACAAGAAACAAAGACAAAAACTTCAGCTCTAGAGCTGAAGTTTCCTAGTTACAACATAGAAACTTCAGCTCTAGAGCTGAAGTTTTTATTTTATAACTGGCAAACTTCAGCTGTAGAGCTGAAGTTTTCCGGTTACAAAGAAAAACTTCAGCTCTAGAGCTTAAGTTTTTATTTATAACTGGAAAACTTAAGCTCTAGAGCTTAAGTTTTTATTTTATAACTGGAAAACTTAAGCTGGAAAACTGCTTAAGTTTTTATTTTATAAGAGCTTAAGTTTTCATTTTATAACTGGCAAACTTCAGCTGTAGAGCTGAAGTTTTCCGGTTACAAAGACAAAAACTTCAGCTCTAGAGCTGAAGTTTTTATTTTATAACTGGAAAACTTAAGCTCTAGAGCTTATGTTTTTATTTTATAACTGAAAACTTAAGCTGGAAAACTGCTTAAGTTTTTATTTTATAACTGGAAAACTTAAGCTGGAAAACTGCTTAAGTTTTTATTTTATAACTGGAAAACTTAAGCTCTAGAGCTTAAGTTTTCCGGTTACAAAGACAAAAACTTCAGCTCTAGAGCTGAAGTTTTTATTTTATAACTGGAAAACTTAAGCTCTAGAGCTTAAGTTTTTATTTTATAACTGAAAACTTAAGCTGGAAAACTGCTTAAGTTTTTATTTTATAACTGGAAAACTTAAGCTGGAAAACTGCTTAAGTTTTTATTTTATAACTGGAAAACTTAAGCTCTAGAGCTTAAGTTTTCCGGTTACAAAGACAAAAACTTCAGGTGAGGTTTTCCAGTACAAAAGAAAAACTTCAGCCCCGTGGGCTGAAGTTATGTGAAAAAGCGGGTACGCTTGTAATTTTTTTTGCAAAGCGGGCACAAGTTAAAATGTGACACAAAAAACGGTTAAAATATCATGATATAGCCAGTTTTCACACTGGTCAATGAAAAATAGCCAGCGTTTATCAAGTCAATGAAAAATAGTCACTATTTTGCTGCAATAGGGACCGGTCCAGTATAATATACGGGAGTTCTGGTGCATTTATGTACGAACTCCAGCATATTATGCTGGACCGGTATACTTTGCTAACTCCTGTAAAATTTGCGGGAGACTGGAGCACCAGTGCTCCAAACTCCAGTATATTATACTGGACAATTATACTTGCTGGAACTCCCGTAAAATTTGCGGGAGTTCCAGCATAGTTATCCTGGAACTCCCGTAAAATTTACGGGCGTATTTTTTCGGATTTTGAATAGTGTTTTCGCTCAGATTTAAAGTGGCTAAATTTCGATGACTTTTGAAACTTGGCTATTTTTCAACAACCAGTGATAAATCTGGCTATTTTTAAATTTCTCCCCAAAAAACGGGTATAGATGCAAATGCCCGTTAATACCTTGGCCCATTTAAGTTGATTGACAACAAACATTCTCCTAATTCAGTTTGTCATATTTTATAGGTAACCAATAGAAAGCTCGAGCAGAGAGCACGACAATGGCGATGGCTGAGGAACAAAAGAAACGAACAATGGAGGCATTAGAGCGAAGATTTGCTCAAGCCAAAGCTGAGCTTGAGGTACAGCAGCACAAGAACAAGAAAATCTCAGTTGCTACAACAACAACTCCTGTTGAGAAAAACGGTGGACTTGCTACCCAGGGCATCAATTATTCGCCTTCGCCCTTCAAACCAAAGGCAAATTCCTCTTTTATATCATCCAAAAAAGGTTTCATCCTTTTACCTTTCCTCTTTGTTTCACTGCTTTTTGTTTTAAAAAATTATTAATCAACTATGCCTCAATTTCAAATTACTGGGGAAATACTCCATAGTCGTAGTTCGCTGTTCCAATTTAATAGGCAGTCTGCGATTTGATGAGTCAAAGGGTTTTTGATTTGACTACGACTTTTTTTCTCTTTTTCCCAAAGATATTTTTAGATATTGTGATTTATAGTTTTTTTCTTCTTTTTCTAAAGTAGTTTATGTAAATTGACTGAGATAGAAAGTAATTCAAGCTATCATATCCATAACTATGGAGGTTCTTACGAGAGAGAGAACATTTTGGAAGGAAGAGAAGGAGATAAAACTTAGGAAAATGAACCTCTGTTATTTACATTTGCAAATGTAGTATATATACATGTCCTAACTAAAGAACTATAACTGAAATGAATAGCCACTTTACAACACTAGCCACTTTACATAAATAGCCAATAGTCTCAATACCCCCCTCAAGTTGGTGGTGTGGAAAACACTGCCAACTTGTGTAGAGCTGCTGAATGCTTAACTCCCTGTTAAGGCCTTTGTCAGAATGTCAGCCAGTTGATTTGTTGTCCCCACATGATGCAATGAGATCAGACCCTCCTGCAGTTTGCTTCTTACAAAATGGCAATCAACTTCTATATGTTTGGTTCTCTCATGAAATACAGTTCCCGGCTATGTGCATGGCTGATTGGCTGTCACAAAACATAGGAATGGTGCTGTGAGTTCTTCAAATAGTCGACTGAGCCACACCAATTCTCCTACCACTTTTCTTAAAGCTCTATACTCTGCTTCTGCAGAAGAGAGGGAGATGGTGTCCTGTTTCTTTGATTTCCAACTGATTGGGCTGCTCCCCATCAAGACAAGGTAGCCACTGACAGATTTTCTGGAATCTGGGCATGCAGCGCAGTCTGAGTCACAATATGCCTTGATTGTGTAGTCTTGATCTTTGGACAGAAATATGCCTAAGGTGGGGTCCTTCTTCAAGTATCTGAGCAAATGAAAAGCTGCAGTCAAATGAGGTTTTCTAGGATCATCCATGAACTGACTTAGGTGTTGCACACTGTAAGCTATGTCCAATCTTGTATTGGTGAGGAAGTTGAACTTCCTTATCAGCTTTCTGTAATAGGTGGGGTCTGTCAGTCTTTCACCTTCTTTGGCTTTAAGTTTCACAGTAGGATCCAATGGAGAATTGAAGGTACTGTAATCCACACAGTGGTACTCTTTTAGCAGATCAAGAGTGAATTTTCTCTGGGAAACTATCACACCATTATCTTTGTAGAGAATCTCCAAACCTAAGAAATAATGTAGTCTGCCCAAATCTTTTATTCTGAAGCTATTGTTCAAGAATGTCTTCAATTCTGTGATTTCCACAATATCAGTCCCTGTAACTACTATGTCATCAACATAAACTGCTATATAAACAGTGGACTCTTCAGTTTTCTTGTAAAACAGAGAATAGTCATACATAGAGTGTACATAGCCCCTTGAGCACAGTGCTTCTGTTAGTTTAGCATACCATTGTCTGCCTGCCTGCTTAAGACCATATAGAGACTTGTTGAGTTTGCAAACTAGGCCTGGGTTATCAATTACCAAACCCTGTGGTACCTCCATATACACTTCTTCATTCAGATCCCCATGTAGGAATGCATTATTTACATCTAATTGTGACATGTACCACCCTTTCTTCACAGCTATGGCTATTAATGACCTCACAGTTGTCATTTTAACTACAGGGGAGAAGGTCTCTGTATAGTCAATTCTAGCTTGTTGGGTGTAACCTTTCACAACTAGCCTGGCTTTAAGTCTCTCCACACTGCCATCTGCCTTGTGTTTTATCTTGTATACCCACTTACACCCTATGGCTTTCTTTCCATCAGGTAAGGGAACTAGGTCCCAAGTGTGATTGGCATGTAATGCCTCAAACTCTTGGGTCATGGCTGCTTGCCAATCAGTGTTCACAGCTGCCTCCTCATAAGATGAGGGTTCACTGTCATTGCAGATGTCTCTCACAAGACTTTGGCTTTCAAGATTCAGGGCATCATGGGTGATATGGTGGCAATTAGAAAAAGATGCACTAAGGGAAAAGGGTGCAGCAGAGCTAGTGGAGGCAACAGAAGATGATGGTTTCAGTGCAGGGAGTGAATGTAGGTAGTCTTGTAGATATGCAGGTGTTTTATGTGGTCTTTGTGATTTTCTTAGAATAGCAGGAGTGTTAGTAGGCTGGTGAACTGGTGGTGATGAAATGTGGTCTGGGAATTGAGATGTATCAGACTGTGACAAAGGATAGGATGGGCTGTCAGAGGTGTTATTTGGTTCAGGGTGCTGAGATGGATTTGGTTCAGGGTGCAGAGATGGATCATGTCTCACACTTGGACCAGTATCACTTTCATAGGTAAAGTCTGTACCTTCCTGAAGTATGTTAGTAGGTGGAACAGTAGTGAGGATAGAGGGGAAAGAAGAATTATCAGGGGACAAAGTGAAAGGAAACAAACTCTCAATGAACACAACATCTCTAGAGACAGATATCTTCTTAGTGGCAAGACTCAAGACCTTGTACCCTTTGACTCCATAGGGATAGCCAATGAATATGTGTGGAGATGTTCTAGGTTTAAACTTGTCTCTGTGTATTTTTGGTATAGATGGGTAACAAAGGCATCCAAAACTCCTCATATGAGAGTATGTTGGTATTTTGTTGTAAAGTAGTTCAAAGGGAGATTTAGGGTAGCTATGAGAAGAGGGAAATCTGTTTATGATGTATGTTGCACATAAAATGCATTCATCCCAGTATTTTATAGGTAGTTTTGATTGAAAAAGGAGTGCCCTGGCAGTTTCTAGTAGATATTTATGTTTTCTTTCCACTATGCCATTCTGTTTGGGTGTATAAGGGCAAGTCCTTTGATGGATTATGCCTTTAGTTTGGTAAAACATTTTGGCCTCTGTACCGGTGAACTCTGACCCATTGTCAGATCTGATTGTTTTGATTTTTGTGTTAAACTGAGTTTCAACCATAGAGACAAAGGATTTCAAGACTTGTAATGCATTGCTTTTGCATGAAAGAAGGTTGGTCCAAGTGGACCTACTATAATCATCCACCAAAGTAAGGAAGTATTTGTAGTTATCATGAGTTGGCACATGGTAAGGTCCCCATATGTCAATGTGTAGAACTTGGAATATTTTTGTGGAAAAATTTGTTTTCTGAGGAAATGGCAATCTTCCTTGTCTAGCCATTGGACAAATAGAGCAAAGAAAAGGCTGTTTTGGGGAAAAAGAAACTGGGATAGAGGTAATCCCTTTCATTTTGACAAAGGGTACATGCCCAAGTCTATTGTGCCACAAAACATCAATATCAGTACTAGATGACACAGAAGAATTCAAACTATCATTTGTATTATTCAAACATGGGATATTTACATGTGGAGAAAAAGATACACATTTATTTGTGGACAATGAACTATGTACAGGTGAATCAGAGTGACAGTGTGAACTGTGACATTGGTGTGAGTTGTGTGTGCAAAGGGAATTGTTGACAGAAGAACCTGAATACTTGTTTCTCAGACACTTTGGACAGAGAAGATATAGCCCATCACAAGCTTTACCAATTTCCAGAGGCCTCTTCATTGAAGGGGCCTGCATAACACAAAGGTTATTAGTGAAAGCTACTAAACTCCTAGGATTTACACTAGTCAGACCATGAATAGAAATGAGGTTGTATCTGAATGAAGGTACAAACATTACTTTATGCAAGGTGATGTCAGGCACAAGGATTACACTACCAATCTCAGTTACTCTCACTTTGTATCCATTTGGTAAAACAACTAGGAGAGGATAAGGTAATGTTATGATGTTAGTCATTAAGGATTTATTGAAAGTCATGTGGTTTGATGCCCCTGAGTCTAGAATCCAAGACTCAGCCTTGTTTTTGAGACACTGACATGACAATTTACCAAAATCTATAGAAGAAGTGCAGACTATTATACCTGCAAAGTTCACAGCTCCATTGATAGAGTTATTGGGACTTGCAGTTTTTTTTTCATTGCCAGCCTGAAAGTGTTGAAGTAAACTCAGAATTTGTCCATAATGCTCCTTTGACAGACTGATAGTTTGGTCTGCATTCAGGTCACTTTGTTCATCTTCTTTGTTGGATAACATTTCAGAGGAATGATCCCCATAAACACTGGCCACTACTCTCTTTCCTTTATTGAAGTTCTGGTTGCGATTGAATTGCTGATTTGGATTATATTGCTGATTTGGATTATAATTCTGATTTCGAGAATATCCAAAATTCTCAGGATAACCATGTAGTTTAAAACGCTTATCCTTGGTGTGCCCTGGTTTTTTGCAATAATCACACATAGGTCTTCCCCTTCCTTGTCCAGCATGGTTTGGTTGTTGTTAGGTGAATAATTGGTTCTATAACCACTAGGTCTGGAACTGGTAACACTCATGGAGGTTGATTCAACAAACAGCTGAGTATGAGGTTTGATTTCCCTTTGCTTCTCATCCTGTATTAGGAGAGAAAAGGCTTGAGCAAGGTTGGGGAGTGGATTCATCATGAGAATGCTACCTCGAATTACAGTGTAGGTTTCATTCAGGCCCATGAGAAATTGTATTAAACGCCTATCCTGTTCAGCTTTGTAGAAATTTTCCTTTGCTCCACAAGTGCAGCTACATGTGCATTGGGATTTCTTACTTAAGGTACTCAACTCTTCCCAGAGTTTCTTCAATTTGGTGTAGTAACTGGTAATGTCGAGAGTTCCTTGAGAAGTATCATTTATCTCCTTTTGTATTTGATATAATCTGGCTCCATTCGTCTGTTCATATCTATCTTCTAGTTCGATCCATAACTCCATGGCATCATTTGCATATTCAACACTGTCTGCTATTTCTTTTGACAGAGAATTGAGGATCCACGAAGTCACCATATCATCACAACGTATCCATTGCCGGAACGTAGGTGACTGAGGATCTGGGCGCTTACACTCGCCATTTATGAACCCTAGCTTATTCTTCACTGATAAACCTCGCAACACACTGCGCCTCCACGAACGGTAGCCAACGCCACTGAAGGCAGCTGAAACGAGCATAGCTCCGGGATTATCCGACGGGTGCAAATACAGAGGATCGCCGGGATCAATACCGGAATTTCCTGAAACTCCGACGTGCACATCAGTGCTAGTTGCATCGTTCAAATCATCCACGGCCATCAGTAATTGAACTGAGATGTATGATTATGTACCTTAGAAACGAAAACCTCTTCTCCGACGCAAAATTAGGGCAAAATGAAGATTTCTCCGACGATCAATCGATTTGAGATGAAACTCAAAATTGACGGGTACAAAATAGAGAGAAAGTGACAGAAATGTAGTAGATCGGAACGCTCTGATACCATGTAAATTGACTGAGATAGAAAGTAATTCAAGCTATCATATCCATAACTATGGAGGTTCTTACGAGAGAGAGAACATTCTGGAAGGAAGAGAAGGAGATAGAAATTAGGAAAATGAACCTCTGTTATTTACATTTGCAAATGTAGTATATATACATGTCCTAACTAAAGAACTATAACTGAAATGAATAGCCACTTTACAACACTAGCCACTTTACATAAATAGCCAATAGTCTCAATAGTTTATGTAAGTTTGTTTTGATTATTAAGGAATGCGTGACTGTTGTACTTCAAACTACACCATGCTTCATTAATAAATTGTACATATTCAATGATTCTTTTATGACAAATACAAAATTCAAACCAAAGTTACTAGGTTCAGCCGAACCTGCACCGACACTCAGGCTCTGCGCCTTGGTGTTTATACTCTCACCAAAGCTTGGAGGAAGGAAAATAGAGCAGGAAAGTCTGCTCTTTGGTGTTTTATCTATTGTCTTTACAGTTGAGATGTATTCTAAGTGGAAAGAAACTCAGAAAGTGGAGACAAACTACACTTCTTTTTATATATAACATTGGTGTATTCGGTCAACTTGTGTACACCTTGACTATTCCGCCGGGTACATGCTACCTCCCACCTGGTACCCGGTAACTCTGTCCACTTAGGTGAAGAAACATCTAGTGTTTTTTTGCCTCTTCTGGGGTTTGAACCGTGATCTCTAAGGTTTTGCACCCACCTTATTGTCCACTAGGCGACACTTTTGGTTGCAAGTTGAGACAAACTACACCTAGGACAAGAACTTATATTACATGTTCAATGATGTGTTTGGGTATATCGAGTTTTATAGGATGAACCTTGATTACAACAACAACAACAACCCAGTGTAATCCCACAAGTGGGGTCTGGGGAGGATGAACCTTGATTACTAAAGAAAATGATTTTTTCATATTTACATAGACTGGATAAAGTGAGGGAAAGAGAAGAAAGAGGACGAATAATGAGAGTTTTTAGGAACCGGTTTTGGCTGTAACAATGACAAAATTAGATTTAAGTTTGATTAAAATCCTAATATAGCCTTCATCTGGTCATCAAATTGCCATAGTTCGTGACAGTGTATCACTTCCTAAGCATAGTGTCAGTCATTTTTCCTCTTCAATTTATTCAAGACCAACCTAGTGCTCATGCTTCCACATTTTCCCCAGAGCCTGCATTATTTGTATTCAGTAGCGGAATCCAACACTAGAACAGCTTGTCGATGTTGACCACGAAGTCCCACTATTTAGAAAGAAAGAACACTCTTGCAATTACTATGTTTAATTCTTTCTCGTTGATCGGAACTGTGTTTTGGAATTATATGTGATTGGAACTGGTTTTCCGAAAGAACTTAGTTGTAATTACATTATAATTCACTGTATTACTGCCCGAAAATGATAAATGGAGAAGAAAACTTGTTTTATGTGACCTTATAACAGACAACATGTTTTACGTGCAGAAGATACGTGTAGTTTTTCTTTTTCTTGGGCAGCTGAATAAAATGAGGAATTTGGTTTTGTTAGATTTTTTTGGAAAAGGGTAAAATCCCTTAGAGATAGCAAATAAGCTTTTGATAGAGCAAATTGTGACAAGGCACCGATCATCAACGGAAACAACATGTTCAATCCGAAACTCACAACAATTGGTCAACCACCAAAACTGTACTCAAAACACATGACACAGAAACCAAAACTACTTGGAGTGGCATTGCCAAAGGTACTTTGTTCATCATCTGTTAGGCGAAGCAAAAGTTTGCATTTGCGTACTTAACATCAATAATCAGATGGACTAATGACATCGTCAATCTTTAGAATCATCTTAACAACCCGAGTTGCAAGCAACATCTGCTGTTGCTTCCAAATCTGTCTTAAAGACATGTTGTTCACGCATGTCATTTGTGCCAACATCATTGCAATCTATTCCACAACAAGGATTGTTTTCCTTAATTTGCTGAGATTTAACAGCAGATAGAGTTTCAACGTGTTGGAGACCACTATTCTCAGCAAGTGCCATTGGGATAGAATCCAAATAGTATACTGCTCAGCTCCTGGGTGTTTATACAGTTGCTGTTTCAAGCAGCAATTGAGCAAGAGATCTCTGCTGAACCACCACCCATATACAATAGAATTATTGCGGATAAGATTTCTAGCCACGCACAAAGCATAATGGATACTACATTATGTCTCCTTTGTTACCACCACCGATAAATAAGGTCACAGCCTTAAATTTGCAGAGTGTTCAATGCATGTCATTCTGTCCTTTATTGTACCAAATGATTTCTCTAGAACCAGACTAGTTCTGTCAAGTCTTTTTAGTTGTCAACTCTTGAAACCTTGGCACAATTCTCCACCTGAGCAATTGCTATCAGCTCCAACTCCACACCTCCTACCCATCTAACAGCAGGTTGATTATATGCATCAGTAAGTAGCTTGCTTCATCAAAAAAAAACCCACTGGTAAATAACTGAAGTGGCATCCTTGTATTTCTGAACCATGTCATCGAAGTACTTCTGCTCGTCCTAAAGTTTGATTTTTTTTTAAAGTATCAACGTCAACCTTATGCTTGGTCTTTGGTTTTGGAGGCTCAAAAGGACAAGTCAAAATGGCAATTTTTGCATCCTCAATTTGCTTTGGCATCTGAGGATGACTCGTATCTTTGCCAACTACAATACCATAAATTAGCTCTCTGTCCTATAACTTTCCACTTTTTGCTCAACTTTGAATAGGTCCAGGCGAACATCCTTCCTCTTTAAATCTGCAACAGCTTGCATTTGTTCACAATCTTAGATGAAAAAGTAGTCCTGCAGGTTTGAATCAAAGCTCATTCCCTCCAAATTCAAACTTCTGCTCAATTCACTCCGAATGCTCAATTTATATCCTTGAAGCCATTTCATATACTTCTGTGATTCAAATAGGGTGATTACCACGTTTAACAACCTCTCTGCTTGTTCTAGAAGTGCCCAGCCATGTCAACAACTCCAGTAGTTCCATTACCAAGTAATCTTGACTTCGTGACAGCTCAACCATCAACTTCTTAATCTGATTTTCAACATCCATCTGCTCCAAGATGGTTGCACCATCATTTCTGATGGTGACATCACCATTAGGGCTCTGAAGCATCTTGTCCATGCCCTTAGAACCAAGAGAAGTGGGGAGAATGCCAGCTATGACTTTTCCGGCATAAGTGTTGGCCTTTCAAGACCACCCATAAGGGGTACGTTAGCATTTACAAAGCGATCAATATTTCCTTTTCAAAAAGAATTGTTGGCCTTTTGAGCATCAAGGCCATCTGGTTTTCTGTTCTTGCTCCTTGATTATTATGAATGGCCTACCAAATTCATCGAATGCCAACGCTGCTCTCTCCACCAGATAATGAGATGGCACGGAAACTTTTGCTTTGAAGAAAATATATGAAGACAATGCAATGAATTCCAGAGTGAATCTGTAGTCTGTATAGCAGGTTTCAGAAACCTAAGTTCAGTTCAGTGCTAAACCGTGGATTTCTTTCTTTTTATTCTCTTTGATTTATCCGTAGTTAAATTGTGGCATCCAAAAACAGTGTAAACAGTTGGCATTTTCCAGGAATGTACGTTAAACATCTTAGTGTGATTCCCTCTTGATTTCATTCTTTAAAAAAGTGATTCCCTCTTAATTTATCTCATCCAAACATTTTCCTGGTTTATTTGTAGGCTATTTATCTTTTTCTGGCCATCCATCTTCTCAAGGTAAAACCTTTCTACTGTATGCTTCTCTTACATTTTTATCTATAGAAAGGTATACATGAGACTAATCTAGGATGCTGAATTTCATCCTGCAACATAGATGTTGAACTGAATAATCCAGCGTACCTTCAACTCTCCCATTCAGTAGACAAGAATCTTCTGAAAATTACTACTGAGGTAAGAATACACGTGAACAAAATAATGCTTCAAGAATGCGCACTCTTAGTTAATAGCTTCTTTATTGTATCCCCTTTGTTTGTTACAGATTACCGGTACTGTTAACGATATTTTGCATGATCTTCTCCAACATGGTGATTCAGCCCAGAAATATATGCAGGGGTCAAAAAATGTGAAAGTTGATAACTGGATTCTTCTTGATAATGTTGTTCAAAAAAGTAGCATTGCTACTGGAGCTCGTAATCGGGCTTTGCAGAGACAGTCAAAGAGATCTAAAAGACATATGTCCATAAAGCAACATAAGAAATTTGGATCATTTGATTTGCCTCAAGAGTTCCACAAGTGAGTTGCACTTTTTTTTTCTTTTAACAATAAATAAGTTTTAGCTTGTCTTTTAAAAACATTTTGCCCTTCTCAGTGAGGAATTATGTGTAGTTTTTGAACTTGCTACAGTGCTCTGCGGTTCGTTTTTTTTTTCTACTTCTGTTTAACTAGATGAGTTCGATTATGTTGGAAGTTGAATGCTGAAGTCTCATGGCGGTTTATAGATTTAATGTTGGTGTGATTATTTCCTTATTTTACTATTGTTAAAAAATGGGTAAGTAATCTTCTAATTAAGAGCCATCACATGAAAAAGGCAGTAAGATGACCTTTTCATGCGATGACTCTTGAGTAAGAGATTAGCTGCTGCACTGTATCTCATGTTGCATGTGATGCCTGTCCTCTATTTGCTGTGGTAATTTTCTGCACAGTTATCCTCAGGAGAACAATAGACGAATAAGCTGCTAGTACTTCTCCCTAGTGTTATTTGCATTAGATATTGGCATATTGCTTATGTAGAAAGTTAAAGGCAAGGATATCTTACACCCGTGTGGTTCCGCTACATAAAATTCAATTTCCAAATGATCAAATTCAGCTGTCTACTTATTTGACTTTTTAGCTATATTATTCATCTAGGATTCTAGGGACAAAGTTCTCCAACTTCTTCAGCAGGAATGATTATACTTTTTAAGGGCTCGACTTTCTGGGGCTGCGTCTGTGGGGTCAGATAGAGCCAAATATTCCTAGACCTCACAGTTGATGATACCTCATGGATATATAGTGCCAATGTTGGCTTGGCCATATTCCTTGTTGTTCTTATTTTGACTAGTTAAGTTCCCTGTTTTCATTTGTCCTTTTATAGGTTGGGTGTCTTTTTCCCCCTTTTTTGCTCTTTTTTCCTTTTTTTATTTAATGTGGATACACACACACACATATGTTGCATTGATTTGAGCAGCAAAGTTATATACTCACTTTCTGGTGTTACCCAGATCATCTCTGGTTCTGAGATTTCTTTTGTGGCTTGTTCTACAGCTATGATATCTTCAAGCCAATGCACGATAAGTGGAAAGACTATGTAACAAAACTCCTGAAGAATATTGGGTTGGCTTTTTGTTACCTCGCTTTTGTCTATGGTTTTGTTTTTCAAGAAAGAAGCCTTTTTTCTCTAATGATTCAGCTAAACGATTGACTTGTATGTCTCTCTGACCTGCAGTATTGGCCTTGCAGGAAAAATCAGTTATCACAATGTCTCCTTAATGCAGACTTACATGGTGCACTAATTCTAGGTAAATAATAAACCCGCTCTCCTTTTAACTCTTTTAGGTAGACCCTTCAAAACTATTTTAAGGAAATGCTATGTTATTAGTCGCTGAATCTGTCCTGTCTTAATGTTTTACAAGGACTTAAACATTCTTTTGAGCTAAATTACGATAAGCAGTTATCTTTAGCTAAAGCCTGAAGAATAGAACTGTCATAGGTAAATTGGGTTCACTGTGTTTAACTCTTGCACACTGGCACATGCACACAGAGAATATAACAACTTCGTTTCTGAAACATTGCGGCACTTATTTCCTGCAGTTGTTCAGTGCAAAATAGCTGGCTTAAGTGGTGTACGCGGTATCATGATTCGTGAGACCGTAGAAACATTTGGAATAATCACAGAAGACAACAAATTCCAAGGTTTATATCCTGTTCAATTTTGCATTTTGTTGGTAGCTAGCTATATGAACTTATGAAGTAGCAAATATGTCTTTTGCAGTCCACTTTCAGTAGCCCTAATACCGGAATAAAACGAATTATGATTTGCTGCTTCTGTCTTCTCTTTTCTTTAGTTTTCTTGGTTGAGTAATTTTTGCTGGGGCTACTCGCCTTGATAAGCAATGAATTAAGCACCAAGTGCGGCAGTTTTTTCAAGTTCTGGTAGTTTTCGTCTCTACTTGTGCCATTCACATTTTAGCTTTACTAGATTGTATGTCAATTTTGAATCCACAGGAAAATCGGCACCTTAGCGGATTTGCTCTAAAAGAAATATTGTATGAATAGTCACCCTTCCTGACTCTCTTTCTGGGAATCTTACCTCAGCTTAGGCTCATTTGATAAATGCTCTTGTCCAACCTTATCCTTATTTCAGCTACTTAGTTCTTTGACTTCTCATTAAGTTGTGAGTTGTCAACCTGAAACTTTTACTTGATACACCTTGTTGGTAAATTATGTATATTCTCCAAAATAGTGTTTAGATTAGCTGGTTCTTATTATGTTATAGACAGTTTCAGAGGCTCGCTGACTAAGTCCGTAGTTCCAAAACTTGGATTTTCACATCCTGAAGAGTGTGTCCACTAAAAATCAAAATGGAGCAGTGGTCTTTACTTCATCAGTTATTGTTTTGAATGAATTAGCAATGTCTTAGAAGTAGGCTGTACTGGATTATAAGGAATGAATCATAATTCTAGCTAACTTCAACATTGTATATGAAAATCTTGAGTTCTTTGCATTTTTGCACAACCTAACATGTATGTAAATTTTTGGTTTGCACCATATCTTCTTAACTTTTAAGATTTGCCCCCCAATGTATTGATCTTCTTGCAAAATCATTAAAACACTCATCAATGAAGGGGTAAAGTAGGAATGCTATAATTTTAATTCCATTTAATTTATCTTTTCCAAACACACTTGATTCTACTCTTTAGAGATATATATGTCATCTTGTTGGGCATAAAAAGTGTGAATTCTCAGTGCATACAACTCCCTTTTGAGTTTGTTTGTGCCACCTTTTTTGTTGGAAATTCACTGGGAAAACAAAATTGAAAATAGAAAGACAAGAATAGAAAAGTAGTTGATTAAGGTCCAGTTTTGTTAAAGAAAGGAGCCAAAACCAAAACTATATTTATCAGATTCTACAATCATAAGTGTATATTATTAAGCACTGCGGACTACAGACTTAATTGTAAATACATACATTAGTATGCTGTCCTGCTGCTCTAATTTTCACAAGCAATTATATAAAAACTCACCAGAAGCCGCCGGAAAAAGCATATTAGACAAATTGATTATTTATCTGAAAATCATTTAAATAGAAAAGCTTTTTATATCTAGAAAAAAATTGTATACTTGCACCAGTGCTCTTGGGGAAACAAAGTTGCCAATATTAGATACTCATAAGTACTGGGTGTGTTTGGCAAAAAGTAACTAATGTAATCAAAATTCTATTCCTTATCAATACAAACGTAATAAAAGAAATTAACAATAACAACATACCCAGTATAATCCCACATAGGGGGTCTGGGGAGGGTAGTGTGTACGCAGACCTTACCCTTACTTTATGGAGATAGAGAGGTTGTTTCTAATAGATCCTCGGCTTAGGAAAGCATAAGCAATAATCAAAAAAAATTCCTCAAAACGAAAAATCTGATCAAAATTCTATTATTACTACTATTTTGTCCCTTTCCAAATGAGTTGTTACATGACTTGCTGAAAGATTAATATATTAGGGGGCAAATCGAGGGTAGGTTGCAAATAAAATAATGATGTATGCATGAGGAGCGCAAAATGCAAAGAGCTCGAAATTCTTTAACCAAGCTAAGAAAAAACAATTTCTGTTTCCCTTTTCTATTTATACCAAGAGGAGAAGGGATGGCGCAAGAATGCTGAAGTCCGGTTCTTGTTAATACTTGTTTTCCACTGCTTTTCTTATCCAATTGCTTATCTGAACTGCAGTTGTACCAAAAAAGCTTTCTGTATTTATGCTGCAAGTGGACTGCTGGAAAGTTACATTGCTCGGAGACAAACTCAGTTCGAGAAACATGATTACATGATATTGTTAACATGGATATTTATCGTATGGAATATGTCTTGGCATTGCTTCAGGTGGGAGTGGCTTCATCCACAATACATGTCTAAAAATGTTACAACAAGCTTTGGTTATGATTAAACATCCTTTTGCAATATCATTTTACAGGGAAAATTGATTCCAATGGCTGTATTGTTGCTTGGAATTTTGCTCGTCCTAGTTTCATTCTTTTTAGCCGAGGCTGATCACGAAAAGAAAGATACTTTGGGCTTACAGTGGGAGAATAGAGGAGGCATCTAAAGGGGTATTTAGTTTTTGAAATTTTAATATAGTGTTAGAATTGAAAGCATCTTTGTTAGGTATTCTTTTTCTCAGTGATAAGAATCAAAGCAAGTTTTATAATCTCAATTGAGACACTGTTCAAGGAGCATATCTGTTGCTGCAACAGAAATTCATTTTGCAAGTTGGGATATCCCTTGGGACATTTAGAGTTGTACAGTTAACTTTTACTCAGAAAGAGATATTTATCGTAATGATTTTACTGTTAAAATAAAGGACCTAGAATTTTCTTGGATAAAGCTTCTCTTCTTGCATTCATGAATATTACCCTTTCTATATAATGACAGAATCCCTCTGCAATTCTTGTTGTTTGCAGCACATGGACAGAATGGCAAGAAAAAGAGCAGCTATAGTTTTCTTTGGTAGTGAATTTCTGGTTCTCGATGTAGCTGAAAGCACCAAACTAACCACGAAAAAGATATAGTTTCTAAGCATAAACCAGGAGTTGAGTGACTTCTTTCATGTTATTATTACATGCTCCCGCACTGGCTTAATACTACTAGATGGCCTAATATAGAGGCAGATTCGGGAGTTGAAGTTTATGGGTTCCTACAACGACCTCAAGTAAATATCTATATTGGCCTTTGATTCCAGAAGGTACATGGGAATCAGAGGATACTCGTATAAAGCTCATAAAAGCATATACTTTGACACAAATTCGGACGAACTAAATTGAATGGTTTGCTTTGTTTATATGGCTATCTTTGTGATACAAGAAGGTAGGCATCTGGACCTTGGGAAAGGATAGTAGTATTAACAAATGGACAAGGTATTTAACCAGTTTACTTTGATTTTGAGCCAATGTGTTTTACACCGAATGGTCTACTGAAAACAGTTTATCTAACCTCTACAAGGTAGGGATAATGCCTGCGTATACATTACTCTTCTCAGATCTCACGTCACACTATGGGAATATACTGTGTATGTTGTGTTTTAAACCGAATGGTGAATTCATATTTTGATCATTTGAGCAGCCGATACTTTTCATCTATAATCTAAAGGACAATACGTTCGTGAAACTCACCATGATAACCGGAATGTTTTGGTAATGTGCAATATGTGTTAATAGTCTTTACTTTCCCAAATCCCCACTATCGAACGACAATCAATATAGGCTGAAAAAGTGACGTGGTCAATGAAGTAGGTGAGAACCATGAGATTTCAAATTTAAACTTCAGTGGAGGCAAAAAATACTAGGTGATTTCTTCTCATCTATCCAAGCCTTGGTGGATAGAGTTAACTGATACATATTGCTGGTGGAGGTGGAGCAAAAATCCCGTGAAATTATTCGAGGTGCACGCAAGCTGACCTAGACACCACCATGATTAAAAAAAGCTGAAAAAGCAATATGGAGTAGGACGTTGATGTGGCACGGCAGGTCGGCAGCACATAATTTTGCCTCGGCGTCTTTAAGAAGGCTGGAAGGTTTTACGAAGGGTTAACCAAGGTTGACAAATTTTGATCATGGATTTGACTAGACTCGAGGTTGACTTAACTATGGTTCCAAACGCCCCACTAGCCTCTTGACTCCTTTATTTATGTTAAGACTTTTGTTATTTTAAAGTATTTGAAATTGGGTCTAAGCTTATTGTTTTGTTATATATAGTACTTTAAATAGGAGTAATGTACGATTTTTAATCTATTAGATGACATATTTATGTGAGGTTCTATGGAAGCCTTTTGGGGTTCTTTAAGAACTCTTTGGAATTCTTCCCTTGTCTTTGATATCATTGGATAATTTCTTAAGTAATTAGGATGTAATTCATGTTAAGGTAAATAACAGTTTTAGCCCCTGAATTATTGCTTTATTCCAATTTTGATCTTTCTATTATTCGTGTGAGCGCATTTGACCTTCAATTAATTTGACGTACACTACTAGTCTCTGGAACTCCGCTCACGTGGCTGCCAAAAAACTGAAGAAGGAGCTCCTCCTCCTTAGTTTAAGGGCTTAAAGTCGCACAATTGAATTAATTGAAGGTTTAATGAGTTCAGTCAAATAATACAAGGACTAAAACTGGAATAAAGCAATAATACAAGGATGAAAATTGCCTCTCTTAGACTTCTCATGTCTTAATTTATGTGGCAACGATCAGATTTTCAAAGTCTAACATCTTTTTGAATTGGTTAAAACTGAAATCGGCATTTAACTTTTAAAGTATATTTTGTCTATCTAGACTTATTAGTTATTACGTACAACCATTTCACTTTGTTTCTTGATTTACGGCGTCGAGTATTTGCACTTTAGATCTCATGTCGCGACCTGTAGACAGTGATATCGCCACCTTTTCTTTTCTCCGTCTTATCTAATTTGCAAGTGCTCCTGAATTTCCATGCTTTTGTAAATACAAATAAATCTATATTATATTAAAAGGAGAGTAGTGAATCATGTGGTTAAGCCAAGTGGCATAATCACAAAAAGCCAAGTGTCATTGTTAAGACAAAATAAACTACCTTTTTAACTAAAAAACTTTTTAAAATTTTGAATTAATTAGTTACTCTTTTTGAATTAATAAATATAAATATATTATAATTAGCTATATTAAAAAACGAAAATATTAAAAAAATAACTACCCATTCAAATTGGGGAGTAGTTTATAGTTGGTGTTTCAAAGTTATTTTAAAATAAAAAAAATGAAAAATAATAAAAAATTAAATTAGCTACAATAAAAAAATGCAAAAAATTAATTATTGTCTTACCTCTTTAACCAAAAAACTTTTTTAAAATTTGAATTAATTAGTTACTCTTTTTGAATTAATAAATATAAATATATTATAATTAGCTATATTAAAAAACGAAAATATAAAATAAAAAAAAAACTACCCATAATCACAAAAAGCCATGTGGCATAATCACAAAAAGCCAAGTGTCATTGTTAAGACAAAATAAACTACCTTTTTAACTAAAA